GAGAGAGAGTAAGTCTTTAAACCTCTTTACTTCTACTCTGGTGTAAATGCGGAATGTCAGTGTTTTGGTTTTGTCCTATAGAAAAGGAAAAAAAGAGAGTAACTGAAATGGCTACAACGAGACGAAAGTAGGGTAATGCACCGCTTGCGGTACCTCTCTCTCATCCATTGCCATTGGTTGCAGCAGGAACTGAGGAAGAGCCTCCAGAAGAAGAATTCGAGGAGAAAGAAGTAAAATTAGTAGCTAGGGGAGGCGTGGGCGAATTGACCTGTACTGAAGTCGTTGCCATGACGATAGATGAGGATGAAGGTTCACGTACTGGAGTAGAGGGGAAGGAGGCGCCACCACTACCACTGCCTGTTACAAAGGTACCAGCAGAATTAACGGGATTGTGGGAGTTCCCATGCTGATTCAATTGGTGATGAAGATGTTGATTTGAAGACAGCGAAGTGGTTGTTCGTCCACCAAAGAGCGACAACTGAAAAATAAAAGTTATTAGGAATAAGGAATCACATTGAAAGACAAGAGAGAAAAGGATACGAACGAAATAAACAACATGCAGGGAGCGAAATATGACTAGCACGCCCTTCCAAAGTAGGCACTTAGGGAAACCACTGACTTTTAAATATCTCAACTTTTGACAATATTTTTCAGAGTTGAGACAACAAAATTTTTATATTACCTTACTTCAATGAGTGCAATATTGATAGCTTTACATCTCCACGCCTTTTCCTATAAGATACTATTTCGGGATTTACTACTGATTGCCCACAAAGCAAATGAATACAACAGCTTACCATAGTGCGCTTGTTTTTTCGAACAGTCGTAGTGGTATTAACTAATGATTTTGAGGTCGGTGGCGGCGAAAGTCTCTGAGACGCACTACTCGCCGACAGACACGTGGTTGATCGACTATCAGCCGTAGCTGCTGGAGTACTGCAGACGACACCTGCGGCTGATGTGGTCTCCAAGTAGGAGGGTAAATCGAGGGCCGACCGACGATCACCTTGAAACGATGAAAGAGAGACTGGAGGGTTTGTCGCTGGCTGTTGCCGATGTAATCTTGGATGCTCCACAGGTAAATGACGTAATTCTGGAGGTTGAGCAGCTACTGAATCTGATTGGTGATGGTGTTGAAAATAGCTGTTTCTCTAAAAAGTATATTAGATGCAATAAATAATTAAGCACCTTTGGAGAAGTGTGCACCACCAAGTATATTTGCTATCATTTACAGTCGAAACTACCTATAAACTCACTACAATGATCATTCTTTCAATTAATGCAAACTCACAGGCAATAAGAATTTAACATGGCAAAGACAGTGTACAGGAATATTAAACTACAATTCAGGAGCTTAACAACGTCAGTAAAGTTGCACGAAGTTGCCTAACAACTGCACAAAATATCATCAAGAAAGCAAAAAAGACAAACCTTAACCTTAATTTACGCAATTATTGAATATCCAAAAAACCTTATATTGTTCCTCGCTTTCTTCTTCACAACTCTTATAACATAGAATAGATCTTGCTGCCTCGATATAATGCCCAAACGCCAATTACACACTAAAATATAGAATCTCAAACCATATATGTATGTACTAACAAGCACGCGCTTCAAACGCTCAACTAGATTTTTCTGACGATTAACTCAAAGTCCACTCCAAATTTTATCTTGAGCGATGGGAAGGGTAATGCATTAATCATTAGACGACTGACGAATTCATCGCCTTTTGCTCATTGAACGCCATGCCACGAGTGACAACAATGCTTTACTTTTATTTCGCTTTGAAATAGGTAAGAATTTCACTTCAATTTAGTCAATATTCACGCTAGTGGTGTAGGTGACCAACTTACTGGCTAATGTTGGCCAATACAAGACAACAACAACGTCAATAGGATGTCTTCGTCTGTATTAAAACTGGACGTTTGTAAGCTATTTCTTCTAATGAGCCTGAGTAAGGAATAACTTACGAAAGACAAGTGGTCCTCTAACTGAGTGTTAGAACTGGTAATGGATACATGCGGACCCGTAGAAGTGAAGTTATTATTAGCATGACGCCGGATCAAGGAAGGCGGAGGAGGGAGATTCTGTCGAGGGATACACAATCGATGTGGACACGTAGGTAGATGCCAATGACGAAGTTGACAACCACCAACAGTAGAGGAGGTCACAGTTTCAGTTGAGTTCTTACAATTCTCCTCTTGGTTTGGGATGTAGGGATAACCACGACGATTGCTGGCACTGGCCAACTGCATCATTTGCGAGAGACTTGCGACTCGGAGACAGGGCAAAACGGACTCTGAATTGAGACCACCACCACCACCACCGTTGGCGGCACAGAGACCATCTGCTTCATCTGTGACGAAAGGGGGTGTTGAAGCTTTAGATGCTGTGTCGGTTGAATATCCGGGACCTACTAGTTGTGAGATTCCTGAACTAAAGCGTACGAAAAAATGGACTTTACTAAAAGCTAAGTGACATTACAATCCCCGTGAACCTTATTTCCCAAATCTTAAAACAAAATTTGCCATGATTCACATTAAGAAGGCAGTTGAAATAGTTAACAGAAAAGCAAATAAAGAAAGAGGGACGAAAAGACATTGGCAGTAAAGCTAATTGTTAACAAGTCTTAACTCATTGGACCTCTGGATTTGGGTTATAGAATATTTCGGTGACCGAAAATTCCCCTTCTATAATTCAATTTCCGTGAATACTAAGCAAGTTATTCTTGGGGGGTTTAATGAAACTGATGAGTCTTGTCACTTTAATTTAAATGTGCAAAAACCGAATGATCATACGCAATATAAAGTATTTCACATGATCTTAGCATAAACAGCCAGAGAAAACTCGGAATTTAACTTAGTAAAGTTCAGTAAAGAATGAAAGAAGTCTAAACGGTCACGTGGCTTTATCAAGAATTTCAGTGGACGGGATTTATATCCACTCACCTCAATACAATTAAAATATACTACTTAAGCGAAAGCATCGATACATATTAAGAAATTCATTAAAATGTTTTTAACTTCCTTAATTCAAGATCCAACCTAACCATTGAAATAACATATCATAAAGATAAGCACAAGGATTTTTGAATTTACATATACTACTACAACAGAAATATAAGTAGGCAAATAAAAAGGTTTCACTTTGACAGTGGGCAATACTGAAATTCACTTACCCAGGAAGAGCACAGATCGAGTGGGCAAAATCAGAACCCCTTGAAGATCCTGGTATAGAGGACGAAGGTGTATTTAAAACAGTATTTCCACATACAACTCCTTCATTATTGGCGTTTCCAGGGGCCTCATTTCCACATGGTGTGCTGACTGATCGGCGGCGTTCTCTAGGACGCCCAAATCCACTTGTCACTGCTCGAAAGCCTGAAGAAAGGAAAGAGGAGACGCTGCCTCCACCACTGCTAGCAGTTACTGCGGTGACTATAGTTGAATGATTATGGGGAGGAGTGTGGCCGTGTGACGACAATTGCGATGGGCCATGGCTAAGTTTCGACACGGGACCGAGATCGAAAACTAAAAGGGGAAAAAACGCATATTATTTTGGGGGTCTTCCAATTTAATTATCTTGGTAACCAAATGAATATACCTTGCGTCTAGTGGTGGGAAAGACTCGACAAAACATTCATCTGTTAACAATTACTAATAATTACTAATCGCATTAAAGCAAAAAACCGTATAAGGGAAACAGTTTAAACAGGCGAATATAGCTTTCTAAATAGCATTTACACTGAGAGGAAGGAAAGGAATTATGAAATTTGTAGATTTGAGACCAAAAAATCGATTATTTCCACAAATAAAACTCGTGAACACAGCAGCTCTATCATAAGGTCCTCGTAGTTTGAAAATTAGGGAGTATTAATAGCACGATGAAAAGAAAAATACGCATTGATAAGTCATACTTTGCAAATAAGTTTTATCAAATCATCAGTTCATGGCTTATGGTACATCTCTTTTCCTCGTTGAAATATAAACTATTGGGTGGGCAACTAAGTCATTGCCGTTTTTGTTGACAGATTCACTCTATACTTTCTTTTGTTTTGTTAACGTGGTCAGAGCATCTAACCTATATCTTTTTCTTACTGTATGGGCTTCTAGGTTAATTAGTAAAAAATTTTTTTCGTTTAGTTCTTTAGTTTTGTTTATATCCCAATTTAAAAATGAAAGAACAGGACGTGCACTTCCGACACACTTTATTGTATTACTTCCGAAAAGGCAAGAACGCATCGCAAGCACAAAAGAAGTTATGTGCCCTATATGGAGATGAAGCCTTCAAAGAAAGGCAGTGTCGAAATTGGTTTGAAAGATTTCATTCCGGTAATTTTTCACTCAAAAATTCACAACGATCTGGCCGCCCAGTCGAAGTGGATGAAACCCATATCAAGGCCATTATCGATTCAAATCGTCACAGCACAACACGAGATATTGCAGAGAAGCTCAATGTGTCGCATACATGCATTGAAAATAAATTAAAAACCCTTGGTTATGTCAAGAAACTTGATTTATGGATCCCTCACCAGTTAAAGGAAATTCATTTGACGCAACGGATTAGCATCTGTGATTCGCCGCTACTGAAACGCAATGAGAATGATCCATTTCTGAAGAACCTAGTTACTGGCGACAGAAAGTGGATAGTTTATAACAATGTTACTCGCAAGAGATCATGGGTGAAGCAAGATCAACCAGCCCAAACAGTATCAAAAGCAGAGATTCACCAAAAAAGATTATGCTGTCAGTCTGGTGGGATCACAAAATAATTTTGTATTTTGAACTCATGCCGCAGAACCAAACGATAAATTCAAATGTGAATGTTGAACAACTGGAAAAACTGAAGGATGCAATTGAAGATAAGCGGCCGGCATTATCAAATGGGAAGGGTGTTGTTTTCCATCATGATAACGCAAGGCCCCACACATCTTTGGTTACTAGGGAAAAATTATTGGAACTGGGTTGAGATGTTTTGTTTTGTTTTGTAACACCCACCATATAGCCCTCACCTTGCGCCTTCGGATTACCATTTGTTTCGTTCCATGCAAAACTCTTTAAATGGTCAAATTTTTAACAACGCGGATGATGTCGGACCACACCTAATTCAGTTTTTTAATAGCAAAGACCAGACATTTTACGAACGGGGAATTTTTACTCTGCCAGAACGATGGAAAAAGGTCATCGACAAGAACGGCCAATATCTAATTGAATAAAGTTATATTTTTAAACAAAATTCCGAATTTGCCTTCTTATTTGAAATCGGCAATGACTTATTTGCCAACCTAATACCATTTAATCGCAATATACGATTGAACGAGGTGACAATATTATTCAGGATAATTAAACGAAGCGAAAAATGTCATTACAAACTAGAATTTACTCTTTTGGCCAGCATCATGAACTTTAGCTAGTTGACCATGGCCCCGACCATACATCGAACTTTTATCCGGATCAACCACCGCCTTCATCAGATGTGGACATGGGACCAAATGCACCATTCCAAATTGTAGAGCATCCTCTGCAATATGAAAAGTCTCTTCTTCCTTCAAACGACTTGTCGTCCGCTTTTCACCAACACCATTTGTATCGAGATGAGCAGCGGTGGTGGAAGAAGTGTTTGTCAACCCCTTGGTCGCAATTTTCACTGTTCGCCATTTTCTCCTCATGGGTGACATCTCGTGAAATGATGGCATAACATGTAGGGGAGTGGACGGGTCGATACCATCGGGGGGTTTAGGTGAAATGCCCTCAGCGAATTGAAGAAGGATTGAGGTGAGATCATTTGCTGTAGGTAAGATGGGTGAAGAGAGAGCTGAAGTGGCGAAAAGGGATGGATAAGAAGCGATCGCTCCAGGACAGGGAGAACAGGAGGAGGCTAAGGAAGAACAGTCGCCTGTTGGTGAATCGAGGATAGAGGAGGCCAAAATATCGTGACGATAACGACGAGTCATCATAAGCCGATTGGGGGATTTGTCTTCATTCGCTATGAAGCAAAACACGCATAAATTGGAACGTGAAAACAAAATATTAATTTGTAGCACAGTATTTACCAAAATTATCCGGTTGAAAAACGGACAGGGCGTCTTGTTTAGAAGCGCCTGATTCAATGGGTTGGTTGTTGATAGTCATTCGATAGCAAACAGATCTAAAAGAAGACAGGAAGTAGAAACCACTTGAGCATAAGTTATCTAATTATGAACGACGCTTTTCTTGGAATTAGAGTGGCTACTTCCAATCAATAAATGCCGACAATGCAAATACCAATAAAGTTTTGACACAAATTAGTTATTAAGAGAAATAATAAATAGGAAATGAAGGAATACAACTTTCTCAACCAGTAATGCCTTCGTCTTGGCCATAATAAGTGATATACAATCTGCCATTTAGAATGGAAAAAAAATAGATAAAAATGGCACTTGGGATTGGCTTTGCTCAGTCGAAATCATGAAAATTGCATATTAGTTTTTACTATTAGTTTTTCCCTATTGACCGGACTTAACCGAACCACTTCAATTAGCACAATGGCCTACACAATGAAACTTCGATGCATTCGATAATAATTTCCTTCATTAACTTCTTGCATACCAGATACCGTTTTCCACGATCCGCCATCGTCATAGAAAATCGTGCAGATAAGATATTATCTCCAAAGTCAAAGGTCATGAAATCGATAATAATACGTACGTATCGAGCAAGTTGCGATACCAACAATACAAAGCAAACCTCTCATCAGTAAGATAACCTGATGTTACTATGCGGAAAAGAAGTATGGAAAGACGCTTTCCTAAATAGACTTAGTCAACGAAGTTTTTCCTTAAATTAAAAACGAATTTTCAAGGAACACTTCGCTTTTTGCAACCAGCCAGAAAAAATGGCCTCAATTGAAGACAACTCAATTTCCACAGACACTCGCAAGCCTGTGCTAGTTTCCCCAAGCTTCCAGAAAATTAATTTCATTGAACCTGGTCGAACATCTCAAAATTCAGCCAATATTTTTATTTGCTTTGCAAAGTAAAAACCAACTACCGCTGTGTTTAAACTTATGTATTTCCAAATGCATCCTTTTTCCGTAGTTAGGAATTAGCTTTTTGGATTAGTTCAGACTCACGAAAATCGTTTACTTTTCGTGACCAAAATTGACAGAATTCACTCACCTCCCTTATTTCAATCTAAAGAATAATCGATTCAAATGCTAGAAAATACAAATTTTTCATAAATAGATGAGTCGGTAGTTACTTAGTGACCTTACTTAGCCTGTCGAGCAATTTGATTTCAACTAACCTTGCAACACGCAAAAATATTGGTCTACTTTCAATAAAACATTTTTAATCATTTCTTTTGAATCTCATTTAAATGGCGATAGAAATAGATTTCTCATAAGTTTAGCAGACCAACAACGATACAGACGTGGCTCATTAAATGCTATACCCCCATCTTCTTTCCATTTTGTCCTGAAGGAACAAATTTTTAGGCTTTATACAGATTAAACAACACCTCCCCCAAACAGTCTAACAACGGTGAAATTTCACACTTTTCTTCATCACAGCAAAAGCAAAACCTGTAGTCACTTACTTGCTAACCCCTTCCTTCCTATCATAATTATCATCCATTAAGTGCAATCGTCAACGAGATTAGAATTGCTTACATAAACATGCGCGTACGTGTGTACTCAAACAGAGGATTGACGTCATTTCAAAGCGCCACTTGTATGCAAAAAATAATGAAAAAAGAGGAGAAAATGCGTTTTATTGAAACAACATAGGTTAAATAACCTAACTTGCTAATTAATTTCGATCTATTTTTAATGGCAATGCTGCAAATTGTTAGAAATTCAATCCAATGCAACCTACTTCTCTATTTTATATTGGAACAGAAATTCAAGGATAATTAGAGGAAAATAAATCATAATTCATCTTGAAGGAGAGAAAAGCGCGCAAGCCCTTTCAGCTTGGGCTAACCCTGATAAACTAAGTGCTTGGGTTGTCAAGGACGGATTCCTAAATTGCAACATCCAACGATGGTAGCCTAAAAAGACGACCGTTCTGAAATACAACAATGGCTATTCTTCGAGAAATTTACTTTTAGGATTAACTCCTTCATCAAATGCTATCTTAAGACAACGTAAAATTGCATAAACATCTTGTGGCCATTATCTTGAATAATCGATTTTTCTGAGCATAACATTCAAATCAGAGAAGTAGGTAATAAGTTTGACCTTGAAAGAGACAACTGTCAAAAGCATACTACTTGTTGTTATTTATATCATTGTTAATAATTACATCAGAAAACCTGGGATTGGGAAGTCAAAAAAATAAAGATCCACTAGAATAGCCTACTGCAATCGGACAATAAGTAGATTCAGTCTCGCCGTCTCCATCTAGCTAAAAGTAAATGCTCTTCAAGCCTTATCTTAACCCTCGATGCATTAGTTCCATGTCGCAAGTTAAATGCAGAAATCGAGAAATGAGGGCGTTAAAGAATCAAATCCAAACACTACCTATACAGATCATTTTGTAGAGTGTTAGCAAGAGGAAGCGATTTGTTCATTTCACGACCATGCTTCTAAAAGTAACGACTATTTACTCGAATACTGCGGATGTGCGTATATTGACAAAGAGAGAGAGAGAAGGCCATCATCATACTTCTCTAGGATAACAAACCAATGATAATTGACCAAACCAAGTCATTCTAAGCAGTGGATCAATATTCTTAATATGATATCATCCTAAAATAAATTCGAACAACAGGGATGACTCAACTAAAGTCCTATCCACTTTCTTACTCTCAACCCAAAGGCTGTGAGTCACCAGTCAACAACAATGTGTATTTAAACGAGACTTGGGGAATTTAAAAACAAGACATCGGCGCGTCAATACGAGTTAATACGATTAAAGTCGGCTTCCTACTTTTTTCCCTTCTCATTTGAACTAAAATGCTTCCCTCCCAGCACACAATTTTTAATAACTAATCCAAACAGACATGGAACAATATAATTTATTTTAAAGATATAAAGATGGATAATAGCAAAACAAGCGAGCAATCGAGAAAAACGCGTATTGTGATCTGAGTGGTGTTGTTAGTTATTGTTAAAAGCAAACGCATTCAATGCATTAAAAAAGATTGTCCACAGCAATAGCCACAAAAATATTTTTTGAGCTCGTTAAAGGGAAACATTTTCAAAGTCTTATAATGAGTATGAAGTGGGATAAGAGGCCTGGTGTGATGGAAAATTCGCATTTCTACACCCAAAATCTTGGTCATTGCTAAATAAAATAGAGAGCTACCTACCTCTAAGAATAGCGAATTCGCAGATTTCGACTTGACAGGAGTACATAATGAACAGATGACTTTAAAAGCAAGAACAGAACATCAATTTTCTAACCTCGATCTTTGCCTTGTCGGACCTGAGGATTCTAAGTAGTGATAAGGCGTTTGTTTAACTGACAGCATAGGAAAGCTAAAACTCCGGATAAAATTTTGCCTTCGCACAAACGCAGGAGCAATTTCTGCTGGCGTAAAAGTCAGCTTTGGGAGTTGCGGATTCAAACGTCCAGTGGAGGAGTTTGACGACGCTCTCGACGTTGTAAAGACACCCGAACCAATCACAGCAGCATTCGCTCGACTACATCGATGTAAATGCTGCTGACAATGATGATGGATGTGATAATGATGTCGGTGCGTATGATGATGGTGGTGGTATCGGTGTTGATAACAGTGGTGTCTGCGACAACATCGATGACGATGACTCAAGCGTGCCGGGGAGGGGGCTGAGCGAAGACTTTCTTCTTGAATGGTACTACAACTCCCATCGACGTTACCCCGGGCCTTTGGAGAGGCGTTCTGCCTTTGAGAAGAGCTCACTTTGCGACGTCGACCACCACCACCACTTCCACCATCCGTAGATGCTAGCTTACGGTTCCAACAAAACGAGAGATAATCGGAGAGGGCATCTAAAAAGAAATCCAACGACTTGTTAAATAAGGACAAAAATTTATTTGATGTGTTAATCAAATAAGCAAGCAAATAACAGAGACGCTAGAAAGGACATCAAATTCCTAAGTACAGAAGTTGAATTACTCATGGCACTTGAGTTGGACAGAGGGAAGGTATTCAAAGTCAATCTTACTGGAAGCCTACACTCTGCCAACTCTCCCGTTGACCAGAATTACCCAGTGAGGTTAACCACCCACAACATGATCCAAACGCCATTGGTCTCGTGTCCTTCGACATGGTAGACACGCGTGTTGACCGCTGTATTCAGCTGTATGAAAAGCTTTCGCGAGCCTTAATATTTAAGCGTAATAGCATTTGAACGCTGTTTAGCAATGAAACGTAAGTCAAATTGGAGTACGTATTGTTACAAAGTAATTCAGTTTCAGATACGTGATGGGAATAAGAATGAATTTCAGAAGAATCCATTTATTAGATCGACTCAGCTGACGCGATCAGCCATTCCCTTCACCAGGTGTAAACGGGTCCTGCAAATTTATTAATAAGTACGCCAACCACTACGCCACCGATCGAAGCAGTTTCTTTAAAATTTTAAGTCTCAATAGTACATTAAAATCAAGTAAAAATGTACGAAAAGGAAAATTCAAAGTTGTTAAATTCAAACAACCATCTGCTGCTTACTGGACTGTACTGTTATGACCATATTCCGCTCTCTCCCTCAGTAAAGGTTATCTTGTTATTGTTGTAACAGGCGAGTGATTAAGTAGCTTTACAGATCTACACTGGTTTCACTTCACTGGGTCAAGATGTCCATTTGAAGTCACCATTAAGCACCCCTAATACGAATATTTTCTGTCTCCATATCCTGCCTATGATATAAAACAAAACAGAGTGAGACTCCTCTATTTCTGATTAGCGAGTCGATGAAGAAATTTATCTGCTCAATTGACGTATAATTGCGTTGTTGATTTGATTTACAAACAATAAGAGTTAACGAGCCATGTGCCCCCAAGTACCATGATTTCAACGCACTCTATTGCAATGAACTTTCAGCCAACTAATAAATTATTAAGTTCAAAATAATAAGTGCTCACGGGAGCACAAATGTTTTTAACTTGACTTATTTTTTATTGATTAAAGAAAAATAAAACCATACTGGTATAAACAATGCGTTTCTGACACCATACAGAAGAGGTAGAGAAAGAATACAGGCATAAAGGTGAGTTTTAACTCCTAAAACGGATAATTTAAGTAGTTATAAATTAGTCTTATAAAACGACAAGACTGCAAGTACTATGGAGTAATTGGTGTTAAAAAAAAACTATTCTAAACAAGTGGACTTCGATAGGACCCTACCCAAGGATACACAGTTCTCCTAATCTGTAGCTTTCGCATCTGGATGGATAAGTTTAAGATCGACGCAAATAGTCCTCATGGTTAGACTAGCTGTAACTGTCGAATGGAATGTAGAAACAACCGTTGTTCTCACATCATCAACATACTTCGCCTTTTACCGTCCATCAAGAGCGAAGCGACCAAACTCTCGTTGCCAGTCACCTCCAGTGTAAGCTATCTTAACCCGTATTCTATTTCCTACATGAGCCTCCATCCAACCAAACGAAACCCTGATGCAAAAGGAAGAACTGCAACAGCCAGAATTATGCGACTCTCAAGCCCCTTGAATCGATAATCCACCCATTAAAGTGTAGGCATGATTTTGAGTACTAAATAAAAAGTCGGCTTTAGACTCCCAATAGACCAACTAATACATAAGCCATTTCTGTAAACCATACCACACCGTAAAAATGGCAAAGAAACGCCCACGAATTGATTGATGTGTTATTCCAGCGAATAAATAGGATTGGAAAAGATGTGCGATCAAAAAGATTCTTTCGAATAGTTGACAAATTGATAGGTGAGGTGAACAGAAAAGAGCGACTTCCGTTAATACCTGCTAAGTTTTACAGTCAGTAAGTAAAATATTTAAAAGTTCAAATGGTAGGCGTGAATGGAGACCACGAAATCCTTAGAAACAAAAGTGTTTGATTTATGATGTCTACACAAGTAAAATCTAAGATTATAAGTGTAGTATACTTCTAATCAACTAAATATTAATCCAAAAAAGGCAGACTTTACTGCTACAATCATGCACAAGAAGTGATGCCAATTACTCACTTAAACTTACTCAGAAACCACTTCACCGCTGGACTTGTTTTCCTACTAACATTCATGAACGGCAGATGTAAACTCTAATTAATACGCAGTCGCCTCCATTTTGTCGCCTTAAAAAATGGAACTATAAATGCAAAAGAATAGTCTCGAAACTCAAACATTTCAACTATATTCAGAGTGGGGTGGGCGACAGACTTACCTCCACGTGATGCGCCCTGGGCAACGTATACTCATACGACAAAAAGGCCTATCAGTCGGTAGTTGACTTCTGACTTCAAACTACCACCACCTCACTGTATGTCGTATTCGACTACTTCCACATTTTCACCTCAGCTTTTTCTACCTTTGTGTCTGTATCTTTTACATTTTTAAAACACTCTTCTGTTCAACCCCCCCCCCCCCGCCTCCAAGTAAGTGGATTGCAGGTCCACGCTATTGCGCCGGACTGCTGAACGCATTACGTTTTGTAATAGCAGTAACCTCCGTTGAATTCACACCCATAGATGACTTAGAAGGTAGGAAGTGATATGGTTCTTGAGTATAATTTCTGGTAAGCGCAAAGTCAATCGATGTGCAATCCGACACTGGCAAAAAATATTTTAGATAGAACTTAAATAAACAACAATAAAAACCCCTATTCACCCCCAGAGACGAGGGAACAATGTAATTAATTACACAAAACAATTCACGACCATACCAACGAGAAGAGCACCCGGACAACTACCACAAGGATTTTTCTCTTCTGATATCAATTAGAACAAAATATAACTCAATCAAGGAAATTTAAGCTAATTCAGATTGTTCAGCAGGAGATAACAACAAAAGGAGAGGACAACTAGGCCATCTGAAAAAACCCATACTAATTAAAACGGAAACCCTGATTCGGAGAACCTAGTAGAATATGTGAATTGAAAAAGGATGAAAAATACACTGATTATTATGGTATGCACACTGTTGACATAGGAACAAAAGAGAAGCCTGCCAGGCCAGAGGACACGGATTTTACACTTTTTTTGAAAAAAGTCTAATGTGCAGTATGAATGGCCGTATTGGTTAGGCAAGAAGTAGTGAAACGGGAGTTTATCGTTAATTAGACTGTTCCAGGGGTGCGCAATAGACTAACCTCCACGTGGTACACCCTGGGCAACGTATACTCATACGGCAAAAAATCTATTAATCGACAGTTGACTTCTGACTTCAAACTACCATGATCCCACTGTATGCCATATTCGACTACTTCCACAGTACTCACCTTACCTTCTTCTCTACCTTTGTGTCTGTCTGTCGCTTTTACATCTGTGAATCATTCTCGTGTTTCCTCCCTCGACTTTTGTGACTTTGATATTCCTCCTCCTTCACTTTGTGAAGCCCGAAGTCAACCTTCATAAAGCCTGTCATTTGATATAAAATAAAATATAGACTGCTCCATTGTGGTAAATGAATGTTTGGTAACACTTGCATTTAAAAAAGATTATGACCTTTATTATAAGATTATACACTTTAAATGTGAAATATTTCCCGAAAAATTTCATTCGCTTTTGAATGTGCTTTGCTAGTTTTAATGTCGCGTGAACGTATAACGTGAGGCGATATATTATATTGTCACAACAAATATGAAGCA